CCCGGCCACCGCAACCTCGACCTGCTGGGCTCCGGCGATTCTTCCTCCTCAGCCTTCCGAGTAGTTGGAATTACAGGCATGCGCTACTACGCCCGGCTGATTTTTTGACTTATTGGAGAGATGAGGTCTCGCTGCCCAGGTGGGTCTCGAACCCGCGGGCTCAGGCAATCCACTCATCTCAGCCTCCCAAAGGCGCGGGATTACAGGCTGAGCCACCAAGCCCAGCTCAGATGTGCTTTTAAAAACACTATTGAGGTTCTGTCAGAGGCAGCTTCCCTAATTATCACACTTATCATCAGTTTCCCACTCCCTCTCAATTACACCTGTGCCTTCTCCTGGCTGCAAGTCCTGTATTAGGTACTAAATTCAACTAGAGTCATATGATGAGTTGGGGGCCATCTACCTCAAAGCATGAGAGGCTGGATATTAGGTTGGCTATTCCTTCTTGTTGGGAACAAGAAGGAAATGGTTACCTCCAGCTCTGAAACAACTGGCTAAGGTTAGAACACTCCAAAACCAGAATGAACCTAAGTGCTGGGAAACAGTGGACGGGAGCCTATGATTACAGAAGACACTGAAAGGAGAAATGGAATCCACAACTGCTCATTATACTTTCTTCTCTTAGGAAGGCTGTCCCAAAGCAAGGGCACCCTGAATGCCATGCTCTTCTCAGTGATATCTGCCAAGTCTGCTCACTTCCCACATGGTCACTACTGAAAACATATCTGCCGGCATCTTTCAAGAAACATCACTACCAGAAATAGGTCTTCTCAATTAACCCCTCTGAAATGAGTAAACAAAAGTAAATTCAGAAGGTAGGCTTCTGAAGGAAAAGAACAAATTTTTTTTGTGGCTTCATAGTAAAAAAAAAATTAGAGGTTACATTTTAAGTGTTTGTACTTTTAAGTTACAAGTTAAGATTTTAATGTTTTCTTAATCAAAATTCTCTAAATTCATTCTCAATTTGCAAGTTTAGAACTCCTTCAAAGACAAGACATACATGATTTTAACTTTAATTACTATTATAAACGTCCACTAGCCCTGTATCTTTGGTCATGAAAGTAGCAAAATAGTCACATTTTCATCATACTACATTCAATTGCCTTTCAAGTTTAGAACATTCTACATTTTTTAAAAAAAGACATTTAAACAAAAAATTTCAAATCACACACTATAAATATATAATGTAAACAAAATAAGGTACAAAACATGGTTGAAGATTAAGAGATTAATTACAAGATTAACAATGACGTTCTGTGCAGTTAAATATATATTTTTATTATGAAATATAATATGCCAAGATTATGTAAAGGATGCAATTCTCATTTCCACAGGGTTCACTGATAATGGGATTCCCAGCTTGACAGGGAGGAAGTGCTCTGGAGAAAGTCACGTAGCCAGGTGTCCACCACCTGCCCTGGCAGATTCAGCACATGTACACAGCCTGAGTGAGGGACAATGGCAGAGCACATCTTTGGAGGTGACCCTCAGGGCTTCTCCCTCTGTGCACTTGTGTTCCCCTGAGCTCAGAGAAGATCTAACTCCATAATTTGATGTGCACGGTGATACTTACAAACAAGAGCTTTGTGCCACCACAAAAGGGCCGGGGGGGGGAATTAAACATATAAACATGCCTATGTTCCAATGTTAACCAAGGTAACTTAGTATCAAATCACTTCCATATAAAAGTCAAAGAAACTTGTTGTATCTCTAAACCCAATACATGGAGACACTGCTACACTACACTTCAGAAGAATGTTTCTCTCTCAAGAGTGACTAGAAAGAATAGCAGGAGTATTTATTTTTAAAAATTGTATAAATCTCGAATTGTCATCTGTTCCAGAGAAAAGAGAAAAAACCCAAATCCACATGCCTGCTACCCATCAGCTCAAAGGCATTTGTGCAGATATCTTTATCATACTTTTCAGATTATTTCCAAATCCAGGCAATTTACTGGACATTAACTGACATCCAAGAGTCAGCTTTAAAGGGACTGCAGAACTGTCCTGCTACCTGAATTCTTCATTAATACACAGATTTCGAAGATAACATAATAACACTTGTTATGCTGCATCAAAACAAAGCTCTCTTTCCGTCTTGATGAAGGACAGTCCTTCAAGGTTAACTAGTTTTCATTCATATGGGTTCCAATCACATTATCTTTTCTGAAGAGAACATTTTTTCAGCCATTTCAGATCTGGTCATAATTTCCTAAAGAAGACAAAAGAAGAAGGTAGTATGTGTCAACATGTTGATGCTGCTTCTAGAACCCTAACAAAAATTTTCTAATCTTTCAGTAGCCACAGTTTGGGAGAACTAAATACAGAAGGTGCCCCAAAAAAGTGTATACATTATAAGAGAGGAATAAACTGTATTAAAATTGTAATACTTGGCCAGGCTCGGTGGCTCAGCCTATAATCCCAGCACTTTGGGAGGCTGAGGTGAGTGGATTGCCTGAGCCCGCAGGTTCGAGACCAGCCGGGGCAACTTGGCGAGACCACGTCTCTACAATAAATCAAAAAAAATTAGCCAAGTGTGGTAGCGTGCGCCTGTAGTTCCAGCTACTTGGAAGGCTGAG